GACAGGCGAACGGTGAAACGCAGCGTTACCTGAATAAAGTGACAGATTTCTTAGTTTGAACATTGTTGGAAACATTTGGGATAATGGAAGTACACTACTCAACTACATATACAACATAGGACTAGAAAGAAGTTAAGAAAAGTCAATGATTTGCTTTTCTTCTTGAGAAAAACTAGATTCTTTAAGTTTTAGAAACAAAAAATCTGTATTTCAGAAATTGTTCAGAAAACTAATGAAAGTGAAAAACGGTTAATAATTTAACATTTTCAATTGCATCTATTTAATTTTCAAGTAACAAAATAATAAATCTGGTTCACGGCTCACTCAATTTTTGTTTCCAAAACTCAAAGATTTAAGTAAATTATATTAAAAAGTAAATTACCTCAACAAAAGATTAGTTTATTTTAAAACTTAAAAGCTCAGGTTGGATTAAAACTTAGAATATCAGTGAAGACAGCCTTGATTTTTTACAGTGTAAAATCTGGGACCCTGTCATATAAAGCCTGTTTGAGTTTATCTGGTTTTAAGAGTCATTAGAAGTCTTTGCAGCACAATGAATATAGCGACTAGCTTGCGTATATAGTGGAGAATTTCGGTGCTAAAGGACCAGATATTTGTTCTCAGGAGTTGGTGGAGACTGAAACGTAGCTAAAGAGAGTAAACAGTTCAGTGGCTTATGGTTCCGTTTGTACTTCTCACTTTATTTGGTTTAGTACCTCCTGCCAGAGGACTGCAGTTAAAGAAATTAGCCGGCTAGCTCACACTGGCACATTTATAAGAAATGTTGATTAATGTCTGTTGTCCTTATAATAAAGAAATGAAATATTGGACTCACATTCGTCAAGAGGCCAGAAACAAAACTTTAAATGGATGCTATATGTCAGTGTTGTTGAACCTTAAAGTTCTAGTGAAAAGTCAAAGTTTGACATATTTTTTTTTATTTTTCAATTTTGACAAAACGTTGCACAAAATTTACAATTTAGTGGAATAGTGTAGCTGTGCACCGACTGACCTTTACCGCAGGTTTATGTATATAATGATGTCCTATTATTATTTAAACAGACAAGTGCACAGACAGACAGGAGACCATCCATCTATTTTCTACAAGCAGGGTAAGCTAGGTAGGCCAGACGTGACTCTCTCCAGCAACATTTTGCAGCCCCTCCTCGGAGACCCTGAGGCGTTCCCAGCCAGGACAGATAAGATATTTATTGCCTCCAGCGAGTCCTGGGTCTAACCCCGGGTCTACTCCCAGTTGGACGTGCCCACACAAAGGAACAACGGCTCTGTTCCGAGCTCCCTCCAGATGTCCAAGCTCATCACCCCATCTGTACGGCCCAGCCACCCTGCGGAGGGAACTCATTTCGGCTGCTTGTATATCTCATTCTTTCGGCCACTACCCCGCAGCTCATGGCCACAGGTGAGGGTTGAACCGCCGATCAACTGGTGAATCGAAAGCTTTGCCTTCCGGCTCAGCTCCCTCTTCACCACAATGGCCTGGTCTAATGCCTGACAGACAGAAGTCAGATTCAATAACAGATGGACCACATCACTCTCTCCTCTGAACTGTCAATATTTTTCACTCAATATTTCCAAGAATGCTTACGTTGACAGGAATTCAAGAATGAAATAGCCTGGTGTTGGTTGATGTGTGGAGGTGTTGCACAATTCAAAAGCAAAGAAAACAAAGAAGAGTATCAGTGACAGTAAATAAAGATGATATTTATTCATTTTTGAGAAGAATCTCAGCTCATGCAAGGATACAGCTCTTGTAAACAAAATCACTTGAAAATGTTATAAATGTGCACAGATTTCTTCTTTTCTTGGTGTCAAACTCTGGAATGTACAATATGTGGAAGTTAAGCCGCATTACAGTTATTACATGAAGAGCTGTGGCCCCATCCACCCCACCCCAGTCCCCCGTTCCCACGATGTGATTATTTCATCGCCCAGTATTGTTAAAGAGCTGCTGTGCTAAAAGGAAGTCTGTTTTATGTTAGGCATCAACATATTGCATGAGTTCCATGCTCATTAAGGTCAGATATATAGTATCAACTTGGTCAAAGCACTCTGGAGCCCAGAATTTTACATTGTGGACGCTGTTGCACTGTTTGCCAGCCGACACCAGCAAAAGCATGCACGCACACATCGAACACATGCAACAAAGCCTGAGGAGGATTTAAAAGCAAAGTAACACTTCTTTAAGACAATTGTGAGATATGTATAAAGATATTTAAAATTAAAAAAACAAGGAAGAACGGTACTTGTATTTGTGGTACACAGTAGTAGATGTGAGACGTTTATACAACATTTGATTTGGAAGTGAAACCTGCTGTAAATATTGTGACCAATACTGAGGGCTGAAATGTTCCTCTAACCCCGTATTAAAGCCAGAGGGGTTCCACTTGGTACTGTACTGGTCTCCTCTCAAAGGTATCTCAGCATGGAGATAAGCTGTTCATCAGCACAGAAGCACATTCTGGACATTCAAAGCTCAGGGCTGCAGGCGGACTGAGGGTGACTCACATCCTACAATGCATTAGTTCGACTCGAAAAAACAGATTAGCAAGCGGAAGGGCAGCAGCAGTTCTGTGCTGTTGAAAATGCTTTTGAGAAGAAAATAAAAGGACCGTCAGTAAGCAACCCATTTCTTTTTCTGTTCATGAACTAAAGCCCCTATGTGTAGGATTTAAACTGTTGGCGACTCCTAGTCGTAGTATCGAACAAGACCAAGAGTCAGCCATGCTAACAGCTCTGTGAGGCTGTACTTAATAATAGTACTAAATGCTTAATATGCAACAACAAATGTTTTGAAACAGCACGACGCATTTTTGTGTTTTGTAGAGAGCACTTTGCAAGTTTGCAAGTTTATTTGTAAAATGTCTGACTCAGAGTTTATCTAGGTCAACGTGTTGGCCGATATGTTACTGGATTTTTAAAAACTGGATCAGCTTTGATCAGGCAATGATGCTCACATGCCGATGTTAAGCGGGTATAATGCTAAGCTAAGATTGGAATGTCATTAGTTTTGCAGGTTTAAGTATTGCACCGATAAAAGAGTTCCTCACACCAGCTGAAAATCACTTAGCTGCAAGTGTATTCCAGGGTGACCCAGTACACTGTGACATGTGGGTGAGGTTACCCAGCTGCGCAAGGTAAGAGATGAAACTAAGTTACTGTTGTCAATACATCTGTTAGAAATTGAGATATTTCACTGGATAATTGAAAACTTTGACCTGTTGGTGCTGTTACATGAACAATCAGGGGATCACCAACATCATTAGGATTCATCCTCTGGGACCAATAAAGGTCCAGTGTGTAACATTTAGGAGGATCTATTAGCAGAAAGGTTCTTGTTCTTTTTTTTTAACTTGGAAGGAGAGGGTGAAGCAAGCGTGTTGGAATCTACCACTACAGCGCCTGATGCCACTTATTCCTACACACTGGTCCTTAAATGTGCACACAAAATGTATTAGTGATCCATGCAATATTTAGCAGCATGTTTCAGTCTGGACTGTAGTGGTGGATGGACTACTCAACTGACAGATAGTTACTGCCGTCTCTAGAGCTCTGACGCTGTAGTGGCAGACAGACTGCACCGGAACATACAAATATTCCACCAAGAGATTTTTCATTCATTTGATACTATATCAGCTTACACAAACATTAAAACTCCTACACATAGGGGTTTTAACTCTTTGCTCCTCAAACCAAGTTAGAACAAGGAGAATGTGAGTTAATCTCGTTATTACTGCTGCTCTCTACTGTGCGCTTCCAGTTTGTTTAACTCGTGTACTTGGAATGTGGGAAGATAAGTAGACAGACACGTACACAGACACATACACAGACACATACGATAAGGACAGGACAACTGATGAGTGCTGTGCAGGCTCATGCGTAACACTTTACAGAGCGGTAAGACAAGTCCCCTCTCAGATTATATGATTCACTTCGAATCAAAGAGGGATGAGAGGAAGGAGAGGAAGAACGGGCTGCGACACGGATTAGAGGGATGGCGGCCTGATTAAAACCAAGAAAGTAAAAGCAGGTTGCAGAGACGATCATAATGAGGCTGCTTTTTTGATGGCGATGTGTTGGTCAGGAACTCTGTAAATCAAAGAATGCAGTCACTTTTCCTCGCTCTTCCTCTTCTTCTCTTTAGAGGTGGTGGGGTTTTTTTTTGCATGTGGATTCTGTCTGCATTACCTGCAGACTAGCTAAACCTCTGGGAACATTCCCAGTGGGTGAAACAGTTTGACAAAAATAGAAGAGACCAGCATAGAAAAGGCCCTCTATATAGTATTTGACTAGGCATGTCAGTAGACTTAAAAAATATAGATATACAATATCATGCTGCAACATTTCCAGACACCATCATGGTATATGTAAGCTCCCATTACAAACACTTAATATAATTTTGTTTTTTAACAGGCACAGTAGTGTTACCCTGGATAGGAATGCTAGAAACCATATAAAAGACAAAGAAAAATGAAAGAAGAGCTCTCTCTGATGCGATGCAGCTATGGAGTGGAGTACTGCTGACAACCGCTGTGTAGGAAAAAGGAAAATCATTCGCCGTGAGGATCAAAATATGTTAACTGAAATCAACATTTTCTTATCTTTTTTTAAAATTTGTGCATCATAAAAAAATATGAGAAAGAAAATACAGGCGAGGAAAACAAGCGCCCCCTGCTTTATACAAAGTCAGTAGTACTGAGAGCGGACCTCCTCCCCGAGGGGTTCGAGGAACGCTGGAGTGAAGGGGAGAGAGCGTGAGCGGCAGAGTTGTCCAGCACAGTAGTTCGAAGTAAGGCCTCAGTTTTTTTTTGTGTTGGCAAAATAAAAAAAAATAAAAAAGAAATAAAGAGAAACATATACATCTGTAACTTAATTACATCTAACTTGGAAAAAAAAATTATATGTGCAAAATGTAAATCTTACAAATTTGGGGAGAGTTTATTTTCGTAGATCACTGGAAAAGGATTGTACTCGAGGTGGTTCATCTCATTCCCCACCCTCTCTCTCTCTCCCTCCATTCCATTCCATCCGCCCAACACTGCCCTCCTGCGCTCTGGTTGGTCGACAGGCCAGCAGCTGACCTTGAGGCTTGCTGTTGATTGGAGCCTGGGCTTCACGTCGAGTGGACGGTCTGCTTTAGTTTTTCTATCTCCCTCTGCAAGGACAAAATGCACACACACAGAATGGAGGTTTTAACACTGAAAAAAGGTAGAATGATACAAAGTGCTGGATCTGTCAGAGTGGTGACAATGATGATGTGTGCTGAAAGAGGACCTGAGCTGAGCTGAAATGTCTTTGACAACGTGACTTTTTAAATTCAATAAGAATATGAGGCCCTAATGGAACTTTATAAGCTTTATTCTGCTCGGCAGTTACGACCACCAGTGACGGGGTTATGTCTTTGGTCACAGCCCTTAATTATCCCTAAAGGCCTCTGCACACCAACCCGTAGTCGACCACTGCTCTCAATTTTGCATCCCTTTTCCAATTTGTTCTTGCTGATCCTCCAACCCTGCGGCAGGCGTTAATCTGCTTAATGAAGATCATTTATTATCTTTGAGCTACTAAGATTGGACATCAATGGACCACGTTGCTTTTTGAGGAATGGACTTAAATGTTATTGGCTGGTGGTAAAAAAAAAAAAAAAAAACAACATTGGCGCCTCCTGTCCTCTGTCACACCCGCATCAGGAGCCTGAGCATTAGATTTCTCCTGTTAAACCGCTCGGACACCGGCCTGGCCATCCAGCCACGACCAGACCAGTTAACACTAATAATCACTCACAAGGGAGCAGAGAACCCCCTGCAAGAGACTCCACACCAGAAACACAACTGCAGATTTGGTTTGAACCCCCCTTACTGCTTAACTTCCCACAGATGTGTAGGAACGGAGATGAAAAACCCGGGGGGGGGGGTTGGACTTGATAGGTGCTGCTAGACGGGAGGGAAGATCTTTTATCCTGTCCTAATCTGTGGATAAAAAATTCTACGTTAGAGGGAATAGTTGACTTCTTGTCTGTTAAGCTTACACCCAAAGGATAATTAGCTTACCCAAACAAGACCAGGGGAAAGGTGAAGCTTTCTTCCGCCCATTTGTCCATGTCCAGTTTTAAGCCTCCGCACACCAACCCCGATCTATCGGACGTATCGTGCGGCGAGGTCTTGACTGCGGAAATCAGTTCGGTGGTGCTCCCGTGCCGTCGTCAGTTCGCCGTCGGCGTTTTCATTTTGGCCGATTTGACATGTAGAAATCGGCCAGTGGCCGCTCGGCGCTCAGATGACCAATTCCTGATTTGGTGGGAGTGGCTAGCCTTGCACTAGCGAATTCAGTGAGTGCACGAGAAAACGCGAAAGTTGACGAATGACAATAACGCATTTCCTTCTTGAGCTACTATCAGACACGACTCTGATGAAACAATGGACTGACGACAGCGTTGCGTCTGTGTGTTTCTACTAGGTCTAGAGTGATCCGTCCAGTTCGGTTTTCATTTTTTTTGGGTGACAACACAGATTAGCGCCGCCTGCTGTTCATGGGGACGTATTACGGCCCTCGACACACGCAAGAACGGTACGGGGCTCCACGTTTGGCGTCGGTTTTGGTGTGTTCGGAGGCACTTTTTTGACCGGGACTGACGAGTTAGACGGGGAGCGCCGACTGGAATCAGTCCAAACGCCGTTTTCTGCCGACGGTCGGCCGTCGGGCT